GCCTTCGGGTTCGCGCCGTGCCCGTTTTTTCGGGGGTCCACGCTGCTCCCCATCTTTCCGGGGCGGTGGCGTGTTTGCTTTGTCTTTGTGGGGCCATGCTGTAGCTTTGGGGCTTGAGCTCATACGGTGCCCCCGAGGTCCAGCCGTGTGGTGTCAGAGAGGGGCGTGGCCATGCGGTGCTTGGTTGGGGGGTCTGGTTGTGTCTTTTTCGGGGGTGTGCTCGTGCTGCTCCGGGAGGATTGGCTTTGGCCAAGCTGCGCCTCAGGGGCCATGTTACGTGGGTAGGCTAAGCCGTGGCAATTTTGGAAGGCCGTGGCGCGTTTAGAGGTCGGGGCGTCGGTCAATGTTTGGGGTTCATGGTGTGCTAGGGGGGTCGCTCAGCGCTTGGGGTGCCTTTCTGCGCCATATTGGCCACGTTGTCGCGGGGGGGTCCTTGCATGCGTCGGGGAGCCCGAGCGCGGTGAGAGGTCGCGGCGTCGATCTGTGTTCGGGGTGTGGTGTGGTGTGTCTGGGGTGGTCGTTCGTGGTGTTTTTGCGGGGGTCGCTCGGCGTTTAAGGAGTCGCGGCGTGCCTTTTTAGTCGTGGCACGTGCTTGCCGGGGGTTGGGTTCGTTTGTGTGTCTGGAGGGCTGTGGCGTGCCTGGCAGGTCATGTGGTGTCTGGGGTCCCCTCATGCGTGGGGGGTCGCGCGGTGCCCCTTGGGCTTCGGGGGTTGTGCTGTGCTTGGGGGGCTTGCTACGTACATAATGCCCAAAGGTTCACGCTGTGCCTGCTCAGGGGGTCCGGCTTTGTTTTTTGGACTGTGCAGCGCTTGGGGGGTTCGTTGCGCTGCGGCGCTATAGGAGGTCGCGCGCTGCCTGTTGGGTTGCGTCGCATCTTGGGTGCTGTCCGCGTTGTGTCGGGGGGGTCTGGCGGGGGCAGTGGTGTCCATTAAGCTGCGCTGTGCTTGCGGCGCCGTGGCCTTGGGCAGCCTCTCACTATTCTGCAGAGGCCGTGCCTATTCCTGCAGTTCTGAGGGGTCGCGAAGTGCGGGGGGGGGGTGCGTGGGTGGCTCGCTGGAGGAAGATCGCGTCGCGAAGAGCTTGGAGCTGGAGGGATGCACGGCCGCGGCGCGTGCTCACAGTCATGCAGATCTTGAGGGGCCGCGTGGTGTTTTAAGCGCAACGCGAACGCAGTGCCCCCAGGCGGCCGCGTTTCTACTAAGGGGCCCCGCTGTGTCTGAGTGGCTGCGGCATGCTTGGCGGGTCGTGGTGTGTCAGCGTCAGGGGAAGCGCGGCGCGCTTTGGTGGTCGTCGTGGTGTGTTCAGGGGGTCGCCGTCCATGTTTCGCCTTGGGGGCGCGCGTTGTGTGGTTGTGAATATCTGGCCGCGGTGGTCTTCAAGGATCGCGATGCGACTTGGGGGTCACCGAGTGAGGGCCTTGGCGTCCATGCTGGCGGCAGTGCTTGCCTTGGGGTTATGTTGTTTCTCGAGGCTGCGCGGTGAGGAGGCAGCCGAATCCCTTTGCGGTCATGTAGATGCTGCAGGCAGGTCACGCCGTGGCGTTTTTTTGGGAGTCGATGGCGATGCGTTGGAGGGTCGTCGTTGTGGTCTGTTTCTCGTGGGTCACTTTGTGCTTGGCGTCTTGCTTGGGTGGTGCTCGGGGGGTGGTGGCTGCTGCCTGTGGGTGCAGGGGGGGCCAATTCGTTCCCAGGGGGGCAGGCAAGCAATGTCTCGGAAGGCATGCGGATGCTGCAGCTACGGCAGCGGGGCGGGCTGTGTTTTGCAGTGAGTTAAGAAGGCCGCGCGGCGTCAGGGTGCGCGTGGTGTGTTTCAAGGGCCACGGTCCGTCTTCCGTATGGGTGTGGGATCGTGGTGCCTTGGGGGCTGCGCGCTGCTCTTTGTTTTGGAGGAGGTCACGCTGTGCCTTTAAAATGGGGGCCAGGCTTTTGCTTCTCCTTTTGTGGCTTGGCTTCCTTTTTTCAGTGGTGTCGCCGCGTGCTGCGTCCATTTGGTCGCAATGAGTTGAGGGGGGTCATGGTGGGCCTTGGTAGGCTTGGCGCTGTGCTTCTGGGGTCCGTCGTGCTGCGTTTTGGTGCGTGGCCAGGCGGCTGCGCTTTGGATGGTGCGCGGTCATGCGGGGCCTTATGATGTAGGGGCGAGAGGTCTCCATAAGTTACAGCGTCGGGGGGTCACGGTGGTCCTTTGGGGTCGTGGGGTGTCTTAGTCGTCCTCGTCGCCGCGGTGTGTTCGGGGTGGTAGTGCTGTGCCCTTCGGGGTCTTGCTGTGTTTTGGGGTCCGTGCTGTTTTGGGGGTGCTGTGTTGTTTTGGAAGTTCGTCGCGCTGTCTCTTTGGCGGTCGTGCTGGTGTGTCTTGGTTGTCATGCCTCACGTCCGGCCATGTGTCCCTTTGTGGGTCTATGCTGACTGTGCCCGGGGGTCACGCCGTGCCTTTGGGGCCGTGCTCAGTTTTATGGTTTGCCATGCAGTGCCTTTGGGGGTTTGGGGTCAGGGGGTGCCGCAAGGGGGTCGCGGTGCCTCTTGCGGTTTTGCTCTTTTTTTTAGGGGGCGGGTCATGTCATAGCCCAGGGGCTGCGTGTTGTCTGCGGGGTTGCTTCCTTTGTCTTTTGG